CTCTACCTGAGGAGAAATCCTTGTGAATATCATCATCCATGTAAGGAAACTCCCTTAAGTGATATTAATATTTATATAAATATTTATATTAATAGATATATAACCGCCACAATGCACGTGTGTATGGCCTTCTACAAAGTGATGTTAATTCAATATCCAAATCCTAATTTGCACAGCAGTCAAAACCTATAATTTTACACAGACTGTTGAAAATATGACCATAAAGTTCCTGTGTTTTCATGTAAAAGGTAACAAACTCATCAATGTACACAAGCCCTGTGGTTAGGCCAGCATTATGGAGAATTAAATGTGTAAATTTATGTGTAATTCAAAATATATGTGCAAGTTACGACAAATTAAAGTCTTGATCCTATACATCCTATATATGTAAATAGTCACAGATTTCATCATGATGAAAAACTAATAACTCTGGCCAGGAAACCAATTTGGTTCAAACACTTTGGAACAACTTCTTTACTTTTTTAATGGCTATTGCTGAAGGAGAAAATTTAGTCTTCCTTTTGCTTCCAGATATACCCAAGGACTCCCTCGGGTAGTAAATAGATATTGATTTTCTTCATAACAGAAGTACATTATTACAGTGATTAAACTGTAGACATTCCTTTATGATATGAAAAAATTGGAAATTGGTGAGCTAAAGAGGATTTATATTACAAAATAGTTTGGGTTTTTCTACTCATCAAACTGTAATTCAAGCTCTAAATGCAAAGCCTCTGTGTATATCGCCCTTTTTAAGCAGCAGCAACTGGCATTTAAAATAAATGCTGATATTATAATTATCAAAGCATTATGTCTGTTAGAGCTGCTAATAATCACTTTGCTTCCTTTTTTTTTTAATTTTACATTTGTCAAAATCCTGACAAGCTTACTCTGAGATAATGTTAGATTCAATGTTGATATTGTTACTCAACAAGAACATTGATTATGTCTTAATAGGACATATTCAGTATGCATTATATGCAATTATCATCTTAAATGAACACAAGCATTTATTTAGCACCAACTGAAATTATTTCAATCCAAAGGATTTTTTCTTTCTGGTTAGCATTATATTATAAAGTCATTAGTACCAAATATGATATGGCAGCAGACTCCTGATACAATATTATGCATGAATACATACTTTATAAACACAATTATAAGTAGAAGAGTCGAAGCACTGTTGCATCATTACAGAAATATAAATATCCATGGAATAGTCAGAAAACTCTCTATTGATAATTATTACTGAAAGGATCCTTTAAACCCTTGTACGGGTTTTGAACGTTCTGTGCATTGTTTTCTTCCCAAAGACAGTTTATTTTGATTTCAGCAACTTTCTGCAAATTTGGGGATTTCTATTCTCCCCATTATATATTTTTTTTGCACTAAACAAAGTCTTGGTGCTGTGGAACCGAGCGTGCCCTGTCCAAAATAAGCCACCCATGGGTGTCCTGCAGGGGGGCACTGGAGGAACCTTGGATTCCCCTTGGCTTCTGGGGAAGGTGGTTGCAGTCCTGCTGCACACAGAGCCCTGGGTGCTGCTGCAGGGAATCACAGCCCCAGGGGCCAGAAACCTCCCCTGTAACCACCCAAGCAGCTCCACTGCTTCCCACCCTACATCTGGAGCTGTGCTGCTCCGATGGTGCTGCCAATTCCAGCTGAATTTGGCTGCCTACAGCCCAGACCAAGGATGCTGGTGTGAAATACTGACAGCCAGGGCTCGCTCCTCTTCTCTCACTGATGGCTTTTTATTGTACCTGTGACACTGAAAGATTAAAGCCCAGCAGAAAGCCATCATCATGTGGGGTTTCATTCAGCATTTCCCCAAAGCTCTCCCATGGTTCACTCTGCACTGCCCAGTTTATTTCCCTGTGCTGTGCTTAGCTGCTGCTGGCTTTGTCCCGGAGCTGAACTCTGGAAAAGTGCCTTTGCTGGCCTCTCCCTTTCTCTGGTGCTGAGCCAGGGCAGCAGGGGAGCAGGAGCTGATGGGATTGTGAACTCTGGTGGGGATGGCAGGGACCTGTGAAGGAAAGCAGGACACAGCTCACCTCCTTGGCAAACCACACAAGCTGGCAGTGTCACCCCTGCTGCGCCTGAATGACTAAAAGGAAAATTTATGGGGAAAGGAATGGTTCTCCTGCTGTAATTATACAAACCCTCTCAACAGTGTCACACTCCACAAAGTCACAGTTGATAAATAACAAGCCACACCAGCAGCGACTTGATGTTCATTTATTAAAATAATCCATTATCCTCTGGAGCTGCAGATCCCACTTGTTGAGAGCTGGGGCTTATTTCTGTTGCCAGTATCTCACTATCCAAGTGGTATTGACTGGATTGCTTCTGCAAGGCTGTGCTTAGGTCATTTAGGAGCTGAGCAGGGTTTAGTGACAGGCAGTGACTTGGTGGGACATGTCTGAGTCTCTGTGGGGTCCCAAAATGGTACAAATTTGGGTGCTGCATTTATTGCTCACCTGCAGCTGGGCAGGGATGGAGATGGGGAAGGAAGGATGCTCTCCTCCACTGCCTCCTTCCAGCAGCACATATTCCTCACAAGACAGGAGAAGAAGGAGGGAGAACACACTGGGGTCAAAGCCCTGAGCCCTGGGAAGAGAGAAATGCCGAGGAGCTGCCACGAGATCTTCCAGGGCAGCCCCTTGCAGCGGCATCCCTGTGGAACGGGGCTGCTGGCAGCGCAGGGAGCCCTGTTCCAGCTGCAGAAATCCAGTTTTTGGTAAATCACACTGCTCCAAACAATCCCTGCTCTGCCTGACTCAGCTGGGCTGGAAGCAGGAGGATTCTGAAAGGTCCTTTACAAGCGAGTGCAAAGAGAGCCTGTGATGGGAACAAGGCTCTGCTCGGGGTTTGCATCTGTTAGCAGCTGCTTCCTCTAACAAAGCAAATATTTGGTGTCAGAACGAGTTGTAGGAAGTGCTGCATAGCAGGGAAGTGTGAAGTATTCATAATTATATCAAATACTACTCAAAATTCAATGTTTTTCACATTTTGCACGAGCTTAAACATTGGACTCCTGTCACAGACATTTCTGCTGCAGTAGATGCAATTTCTAGAATAAATGAGCTTGCTTTCAATAGAAAATGGGACGGTTTTCAAAGGAAAAAAGGCCAATTTGTGAATAAAAATGGGCTTCTTTCTGAGCAGAGAGGCTTATAAACATGAAGTGATAAATGGCTTTGCAAGTTTTCCATACAATAATAACGACTTTCTAATCAAAATAATGAAAAAGTTGCAGCTAGGGGAGGGGAGAGAAGTATCATTCAGGCTTTAATGCAATTTAGAAAACAAATATATGAAAACTGTAAATTTAGTTTCCGTCCATGACGTGATTTTGTGTTGCAGACATGTCAGTAATACTTCTTTGCGTATATCTTTATGATGTTATAAATCAAATTCCTGTTCTTGGTTTTCTGCCTTCTGAGATGAAATTCATGGTATAATGTTGTAAGACTTCAGGAGATACATTTCTTAGGATCCCCTGTGTGGCAGCAGTGTTTGATTTCCTAGTTCATATGTTTTTAGAACAAAATTTATCTTCTGGCTTGACTTGTTGACTTTACATGCAAATATGTTTCATAATAGCTGATCTGATGAGCAACCGAGGTGGTTGCTAAAAATGCCTCAAAATCTATGTACTGAGGAGCTGGGATCTCCTTCTCACACGTTCTCCAAAAAAAAAGAGATGGTGGGATGTGCCCAGGAAAATTTATAGTGCAAAATTCACCATTTGGGAAAAGCTTCCAAATCCCTTGGCTGCAGAGCAGACTGGGAACCCAAGAGGTTCCTTTGTTGGGCTGTGTCCCTGCTGCCAATTCCCTGGGAAAGTGTTGGATAGAGGATAGGGATGAGGGATGTCAAAGCTGGGAATCCTGGGCTCTGGCAGACACTGCTCCAAAAGGTTCCAGAAGATTCCAGAAGCAGGGGTTTTGTTGCAGCTTTCCCCATGGGATCCAGGTTTATTTTCCAGGGGGGTTTGGATAAACATTCCTGGGCATTGTGATGTCCTCACCACGCAGCCCTTCCCCAGCTGTGTCCTCTGGGCTGGTGGTGCTCACCTGGGCTTTGGGAGGGTGGTTCCATTGGAGGCAGCCACACAAAACACATTTTGATGAAGTGAAATCCATCTCAGGATTCCAGGGGAGCAGGTTCTGATGCTGAGAGCAGCTCCCTGTGAGTGTTGCCCATCCCTGTGCTCCCATCCCTGCTGGGAGAGGTGGGAATTCCAGAGGCTGGCACAGTCCCATTCCAGAGCTGACCACAAATGGGATTTTTTCCAGATTAAGGCTGTGTTTTATGAGAGGAAATGAAGTTGGATTTTACTGTGGGCCTGTGCTGCCTGGTTCTGCAGTAGCTGGGCAGCCAGGTAAGCACCCATGACGTGGCAATCAGACATCAGCAACATAAATCATTAATATCACTTGACACCTTTGCTTTGGGCCATAACTAGAAATTTCTGCCCGTTTTGGAAACTGCTTTGTTGTTTCTCACAGCGAAGCAAACTTAGATTACCAGTCTAAATGCTAATACCCAGAATGAATGGGATTTAATAAAGTGAATTTATATGTAGATTGTGACATTAGTATTTAATTATGTACCCATCATAACACTGATGAAGCAAGCTGCTAAATATTGGTGCGCTGAAAGTAGAGCTTACTCTTAAAGAGCAAGTATATTTTAATTTCTTACCTCTTTCTTAATCTTCCTAAATAACAGGATAAATTATGAGCTGTTTACCAATATTCACCTTCATGCTGGATTGTAAATGAGGTTTCCAGGGTAGCAGCTGATTTCATAGAAAGCTGTGCTTGTGTTTCAGTAAAACTGTGATAACAGATCTGTTTCTCTGTGTTTCATTAGGCCAAATAAAGTTTTGTTGTTTTTTTTTTAATTTATTATTTTAATATTAATTAAAAGTAGTATGTTATCTCTGTAGATTTTTTTTTTAACCTTTCATTTTCTGTTGTTTGGGTTTTTTTCAGACTATGGAAAGCCCGAAGTATGAGCTGGTTATAGAAGCCAAGGACATGGGTGGGATGGATGTGGGACTGACGGGCACAGCCACTGCCACCATTCTTATCGATGACAAAAATGACCACGCACCAGAATTCACCAAGAAGGAGGTAAGAGCTGGCCATCTGTTCTCTACAAAACAGTGCAAATAATCCTAATTAGCTTGTTTCTAAATATAAAGATGTTCTTTAAGGAAAGAAGACACGTACAGAATGTTTTTAGCTCGGTGTGACAGACTTTCCTGGAGCTGCTCTTTTCTTTTTCACGTTAATAAATGTGTGTGCATCAGCTCCAAACCACAGTACAACCACAAGGTAAAAAAACCCTGTCATTTAGAGATTGGCTAGCAGGATAAAACCTGTAAAATAAATCTGCTGGTGGTGACTTTCTCCTTTCACTCCTGTGGGGGGAAATAGCAAAACTAGCTTAAGGCTTTGGATAGTCAGGACTGTGGATGAAAACAGCATTTTCTTCCTGTCTACAGCACTTCCCCTGTGAGCCAGCCAGAGTTTGGGGTTCTGTAATTAAAACTCCAGTCCTAAAAGCTTCAAACTTAACCTGCAGGTGGAATTTGCAAGGGAAGGTTTTTTCCCTGTAAATTGAATTCAGGTGAAGGGTGCTGAAATCCAGGAGAGGGAATTCCCTGCCTGAATCCACCAGATTTCCTGCCCTGCTCACATTGTTCTCTTCCATGAGCCTGATCTTTCAGTATCTGGACAGAATGAGAGCTTTAAAAGTTTTACCTAAGAACAGCCAGGTTGGATTGTGATATAAAAGTTTCCTGGGGCTCTGCAAACTTTTAAGGAAAAATTCCCAAAATATGAGGGATCCTGGTTTTAAGATAATTGTGGAAGAAAAAAGGGAAGCCTGTTGCTGTAGAAGTTTTTTTATTTAACCTGAAGTATATTTTTGCCTTTGTTAAAATGTGTTTCCTGGCCTATTATCAGTGATTTGAGATTAGATTATATTGAAACAGATTGCCTTTATTTTACTTGAATAATTATTTCTTTTATAAATGCAAAGTAAATGAATACCAGATTCAAACATGACAGAGAAGGACTTTTTAAAAAAAAGAATAAAATAAGAATAAAGTAGAAGCAATGACAATTTTGCCAAGGGAATATCTGTAACTACATCAGTAAAATGCTTTGGCAGTAGTGTTTCAGTCACCTAAAAATTACCATGGAGAGACTGATCCAAACCTTTCAAGTACATCAGTGACAACTATGATCAAACTCTTAATTCCTTTAGAATTACCTTTTAGATCAGGCTTTTAATGCTCTGAAATCTGATTCCTGACAACCAATACTTAAAATATCTTTGAAATGTTGGAGGTTTTTTTTAACCCCCAAGGAAAAAAACAATGTAAAAGGACAGCTTGGTGTATTTAGAAATAAGAATTTATTGGATTAATCGATATTGATAGCAATTCATGTCACTCAGAGTCCTACCTGCTTGAATTTCTCAAGTTGGAGAATTCTTCTCTGGAAAAAATATTTCAAGATTGAATTATTTTAGAAGTCTTTCTATAATTATAGTCCTGTTTGACTTAATAATTTGGTGATTTGGATGCAAAAATTCATGTGCCTGCTTAGCTACAAATGTATTGTTATCATTAATTTCTGTGAGAATTCATAAATTCTCATATATTCAGTTCTGTCAGTGACAGTAAAAGATACTTTATACCCTGAAAAGTTATGGGGGTTTTAGCATGGAAATTAAATAGGTGTGAAGAGAAGCATTTATATTGTTTTCTTTGAAAAGTCTGCTCTTAGATATTTTTCTTTCATTTTGTTTTCTTTTCTGAAGCAGCGTCTCTTTTTCTTTTTCATGGTTTGACATGGGTTTGAACCTTTCACTATTTAGAGATGCTAATGACCTCGGAAATCTTCCCTCTGCCTTGCTAGGTGATATTCATATTCCATGAAGAAGGCAGGAAAAATCAGCCTTTAATGTATGGTGCCAGCCCCCTTTAGGAGCAGATTCTCAGTTTAAAATTAACAGTGTAAGGGGAGGGAGGTGTCTCTCAGCTGATTTAATGCCACTTTATTTGATTTTCTGCTGAAAGTGCTTAGTTATTGCATTTTAATACCAGTTGCATAGCACAGGCTGCAATACTATTGATTTGAATTAGAGCTGAAAGAAAGAGACAATATTTTTCAAGGTAACTTCTGAAGGAGAAAGCTCAAATTCAGTAAATCTGAAGCTCTGATTCCAGAGTGCAGCTTCTTTTATTTATTTTATTACCTGGCCTTGGACACTTCCAGGGATGGGGCAGCCACAGCTTCCCTGGGTGACCTGCTCCTCACCACCCTCACAGGGAGAAATTTATTCAAAAATTCTTCAAAAATTTCTTTAAAATCCACATTTCTTCAGCTAAAGGCTATTCCCACTTGTCCTCTCCCTACCTGATCTTGTGACAAGTGCCTCTCCTGGAAGAGGGATGCTTATCCTGAGGCTCTGATCTCCCACCCAGCCTTTTCCCCTCCCTGCAGCCGCTCCTGGGCCAGGCTGAGGCAGGAAAAGTTCATCCATGGAGTGTCAGGGTGTGACCCCAGGAGCAGCTGAGCGTCCTGGCTGTGATCCAGCAGAGCCCTGGAGGCTTTGAGTGTGTGCCAGGTGCTTTGATGGCTCAATAAGTGAGACATTGCTTTGTGGATTCATTGTTTGCTTACTGCCTCATCACTCCACACTCTTCCAAAATATCTCTTCTCTCTCACATCCATACTTGCTGCTAATAATAGGCTCTGAGCGGTGTAAAAATCCATTCAGGTGTGCAAACAGTACCCTGTTCCCTCCAGGGGTTTTAATAATTTCATCTTTAATGCCAAATAGAGCAATATTTAAGAGTTCCTGCAAAAATCCCAGGTGAGGTAGCAAGGTCTACCTTTTAAAAGGTCACAGTGGCTGGGATATTGTGCCAGATTTAAATTACAGAGGCTGAAAATAGAGATACTTATAAAGTTAGTGGCCTCTTTGTAAAATTTACAACCTTATTTCTATAATGGGAAAAAGTTTTAAAATTAATTTTGTGAATTATTATTTTGCGTCACAAAGAATTTTGGAGTTTCCTTTCCAGCAGGAAAAGGCCTTAGGCTCAAATTTTGTTCAGGGTTTGCTTATGTGAAAATAAGGAATGAAGTAATGCAAGGAGCAGGCACAGATTGTTCTGGAAAATCTGATACCTGTCTTGCATCCTGCAGGATATTCCAGGTGGGTGGGGATGAGCTGGACTGAGTGAACACTAATGCTGCTGAGTATTGTTTTTATACCTGGAACATTCACAAAAATGAGAATTCTTTCCTTGTGTCCCTGTAAGAGTGCCTGACAGATCACTGCAGTGCTGTATCCTGCAAAAGAAAAAGGGATTTTAGTCCAGAGGTAATGTCACTGTGGCTGTGGTGTGATGAAAAATTAACAATGTGGCATCTGCTGAAAGACATGAACTGGCAAATTCTCCTCTTGTATCTGTTCCTGGAGGCCTGGCTCTGCCCAGATACTGCCTAAGACCTAGGGGAGGGAAAAAATGAGCTTTAACACAAGAAAGATATGGACTTGACCCCTTTCTGTCTTGTCTTCCCTCTCCAAAAGAATAGTCCAATGAATCCTACTTATCCCATTCCTGCCTGCAGAGTGTGTGCTCAAAAATGAGATTCCTCTGACTGTTTGCCTTTATCTTCTGCCCTGAATTTTTAAAACTTCCATTGTTGCTCTTTAATGTGTTATTTTCCCTTAATGCCAGATAGATTGTGTTCCCTGGGTAAATCCTGTCAGGCACTTGAGAGAGGAATGCAGTGCTGTGGCTGAAGGGGAGGATTTTTCTGCAGTGCCCCCAGTTCCCACATTCCTCCTCTGCCACAGATTTGGGACTGCAGCCCATCCCTAGCCAAACCTGGAAAAGTGGGATTTGTCACAGGACTGTCCCTGGCACATAACAGAGACTACACTTGGCCAGGGAACAGCCATTCCTCACACAATTCCTCATTCTGCCACTTCCAGCCTCGCCCTCAATCCCATCCATTTCTGGGACAAAGAAATGTAACACAGAAATAATTCTGTCACACCAGGGAGAGCAAGATTAGGGAAAATATTTTCCCTGGTATATTTTTTTTTTATTATATATATGTTCTTAGAAAAGAATTTTCTGGTAAAATAAAGATCTTGCCTCCTGTGAACAGAATAAAATTTGTGTAATTTGACAAAACGCCACCACGGTGAGATTTGAGATACACTAGTGCTGAGATTCTTAAGTGAAAAATATGATTTGCTCACATTTTGAATACCAGCTGATAAATGGTTTATAAAAGAGTAATAAGTGACTAATGGGAGCTTTACTAAATGATTCATCAGTTCCTGGAGAGGCCTGTAAGTGGCTAGCTTGCTTGTCACGGTGATTTATGGTGACTTGCAGCGCTGTCTCCTGACTCAGTTGTGTTACCCACTGGGTAAAGCAGCCCCTGGAGGACAATCTGCACCTCCGTCTGCTCGTGGCTCTCAGAGGACAGGAGACTTTCCCAGCACCATCTGGAGAGATTTCTTCTGCAGCTCAGGCTGTTGAGAAATGGGCCTGAAGCTTTTGAGAGTCCCTGTCTTGATTCTTGGTATTGGCTAAACCGTACTGAGGAACAGATATGGAGCTAAAAGCAATTCTCAGGTTCCTCCTGGATCACTTTTCCATTCTTCTTTTACAAAAATATGTCTCTTGTACATGGTACTTTTATTTTCTGTGGTAAACGGACTTTGGCAACCCAGACCAGATCTGCCCATTGGCTTTGCATGTTTAAAACCAGCCAAAATCACCTCTCCTTCTTTTGTGGGCTGAGTCCTTCTTACCTTGTCCTGCAGGGAAAATTTTGCCCTTTGGGACTCCTGATTAATTTTGTTCCTTTCTGTGCAGGACTCCCAGTGAGCTGTAGCACACCTTTAGACACAATCATGTTTATGGTAGATGATTCCCCTTCCAACCCTCTCCCACAGGCCTTTATGTCTGACAGGGAGAAATTTCTAGTGAGAACCACAACTGTGTGGAAAACAGAGCCAAAGAGGTGCTGTCCCCTGACAAACCCAGCTGGGGAGCAAGGCCAGGGCTGCAGCCCTCTCCCATTCCCTG